GAGCCCGATGTGGGACTCGATCCCAGGACCCTGGGATCATGACCTGAGCCGAAGGCAGACGCTTAACGACTGAGCCACCCAGGCGCCCCTGGAAGGTTTTTTTTTAAATTCAACATTCTGCCTGCCTTGGCTCCCTAATGACTATCACCTAGTGAAGGAAGGAACTGACACCAATTGTAGATGGAGAAGGAAGTCCGTGTAGCTTCTTCTCCCCCTCAGTTCCTTCACTCAGCAGATTCCTGAAAACTCTTCCTACATCCCCATCCTGCAGTTCCTCCACATCCCCCCACCTTCCCCAAAGAGAAGGAGGGAGGTGGGGAGGAGAGGGAGAAGGAGAAACAATAGCATTATAATAGACACAGAGGGTTGGGTTTTGTGTTTGTTTTTAGGCATCTTTGTTGTTTATATTTAAATCTCGAAGCATAGAGCAGCTGGACTCCAGTTGGACTCTAGCATCCACCTACCAGGGTAGAGGCCTCCTGTGAAGGGATTTGGGGAGGATAGTCCCCAGTCATCAAACCACAGTCCCTCAGAGCAGGTCGCATTGTTATTTATCCAAATCTGCAGAGTTCCCTAGAGTCATGACCCAGGCCCATCCGTCTCTCTTTTTCAGGTTGTGGGCTGCACACTGCAGGAAAATTCAGCTGAAGAAAGGTAAGTTGCAGCAGGGCGCTCTTGGGCAGTTCAGCCCAAGGTCACACCCCTGTGGTCCCCCGCCTGCCCCAGCTACAGCGGCACTTGTTGACCCTGCACCGCTTCCGCAGGCTGCAGATTTGTCTGCAGCAGCTGAGAACAGCTCAGTTTCTCGCTGCAACTGAGAGCACCTCTTCGGAGGCAGAGTGGTGAGCCTTGTGGTCTCTGACTTGCCTAGTGAGCCATTTGCCAGGTTCCAGACTTCGTTTAATGTTTGGAATGGCTCTCCTGTCCCGGGCCATTTCCACACTCTCCCCACAAAGCAAATCACCCCATGGTAGCTGCCGAACAACCATCATCTCTGAGTGCTTCTGGCTTCAGGTGCTAAATGTGTGCCTACGATGATGGCTGGGACAGCCTCCCCCAGTCGGGGCCATTGGACAGTTGGGAGGGAGGACAACCACAGGGCGTGGGCACAGCAATGTTCAAGTCTACTCATTTCTTTCCTAGATAACTCTTCCACACAAGTGTACAACTACCAGCCCTGCGACCATCCAGACCGCCCCTGTGACAGCACCTGCCCCTGCATCATGACACAGAATTTCTGTGAGAAGTTCTGCCAGTGCAACCCGGACTGTAAGCGTTCTCCGCTTTCCCCGGTAGTCCTCCCAGACAGTCGGCCCTGGTGCAGCCCGCCTGCGCCCCTTGCTGCCTCTGGGCCTTCTGAGGTTCTCTCTGCTGTGTTTTAAGCATTCTGCAGAGGAAACAAGATACTTAAGATCTGGAAAAGTCATTTTTTAAAAACCCGTAGGTGTTTCATTCTAAAAGCAACAATTACACAGAAATCAGAAACATGGGACTCTTTTTCCTTCAGGCTCAGTCACAGCTTCCCTTTCTAGGATGTTGTGTTACAACAGACACAGGTTATGATTCATGTATTTAGTTTAATACTTGGGGAGTTTTCATATCAGGCCGTCTGGATCAGCAGAAGTAGGACAGAGGCTAAACGTGCTTCTCCTTCACTTCTTATCACACCGTGCCCTTCCCCGCTTGGGGCTGAACGGTTTGAGAACAGCCCCCAGAGCCTGCAGAACTTGGTGCCCAGGCAGTTGTGCTGGAAATACCTTCTAACCCCTGGCAGATACCAGTCTCAGCCACAGCAGAGAGGCACTGTGCTGGGGAGGGCAGTGGGTGGAGGAGGGCAGCTTAGAACGGATGCATTCTGTTCTCAAAATGATTCTTGTTTTGATGGTGATGCTTTAGCAGTGAAAAGCACTGATTTCATTTTCTCTGGGCCACCCACCACCTCCCTTCCGAATTCCACGAACAAGGGGGAGGGAGAGCATTGTTGAGGAATCTCTAGGAAACACCTCTCAATAGTCAAACCTGCTTTTTTGACTCCCAGGCATGAATGTTGGGAGGCACTCCATTTTCTCTGGAAGGAAACTGGACTATATGTTTATTGGCCAGGGAGCTTCTCATCTGTTTTGCCAACTCTCCCCAAACACACAACATTCCTTGCTGACCCTGGAGTCAGACCTGAGCCCCAGCATTAGCCTGCCCCTGTCCCTAACCGCCCCTCTCCCCCCAGGTCAGAATCGCTTTCCTGGCTGTCGCTGTAAGACCCAGTGCAACACCAAGCAGTGTCCCTGCTACCTGGCAGTGCGAGAGTGTGACCCCGACCTGTGCCTCACCTGTGGGGCCTCAGAGCACTGGGACTGCAAGGTGGTTTCCTGCAAAAACTGCAGCATCCAGCGAGGCCTCAAGAAGGTGAGGGCTTTTCTCGGGCCTGCGGGCCAGATAACGGAGGGGGAAAGACAGATTGGCCCCCGCGGCCTCTTTCCACTGGCCCCTCGGAGGGCTTCTACCGCAAATCCCAAGGGACATGCGTGTACTGAATTAGTGAAGTTTTCTGTCCTGGGGAGGAGTTAGAAACGTGACCCCTGAACTGGCCAGCCTGAGAGGAGCAGAGAGGACGGACACGTCACGGGTGTTGTCTGTTTCTACCTGACCTGCACCAGCGAGTCCCCGCGACTTGGGTCCAGGAGGCCCCCGGGCCTAGAGGAGGAGGTGTCACGTTTCCTTTCGCCACCTCCCTTCTTTGTTTTTCCTCTCCCCAGAACAGAATGGCTTAGACCTTTTTCTGTTTTCAGATCCTCTTAACAGTTGCTTGTTCTTTCCATCCTGCCCACCCCCAGCACACGTGCACACCCAGCACACACCCCGCCCACTCACCCATGCCCTGTAGTCTGAGGTTTGACTCCCTCCTCCCCAGCACCTGCTGCTGGCCCCCTCAGATGTGGCCGGATGGGGCACCTTCATTAAGGAGTCTGTGCAAAAGAACGAATTCATTTCTGAATACTGTGGTGAGGTGAGTGCTATCAGTTTGGACCACATTCCTATCTGGGGAGATACTGATGAGAAACTCTGATTTTCTGTGGGCCAGACCTCTATGAATTACTCTCTAAATAACTCAGCTGAGTTCCCGTGTGGTCTCTTGGGGGATCCCACAGAAGGGTTTGTAGTCCTGAGATAAACCACTCTTCTGAAATTCTTTCCCAACTCAGGCCACACAAGGGGGGCAGGCAGGGAACTCTCTTCAGTCTTCATACTGGTCACACTGGGTGGGTATTGGAATGAACTAACTTGAGCTCTGTCTCCTGTGATTCTCATCATGATACTCAGTAAGCACCTACGTGTGACACTGTCCCCTCCCAGCCTTTTCTGTGGGCAGGGTACCATGCCCTGAGCAGATAGCCCAATCCCCTGTTTGTTCCTTGTCTGTCCCTGCAGCTTATCTCTCAGGATGAGGCTGATCGACGGGGGAAGGTCTACGATAAATACATGTCCAGCTTCCTCTTCAACCTCAACAATGGTATGGAGTCTCTTTCTCTGGCCCCAAGGTGGTCTCAGACAGGTCTTTCTACCAGATTGCCCTTACAGTAGCCCACGTTCAGATCAGCTACGATTTCTCCACCATCTGGATGTCAGCAGGTTAAACTTGAAGACACGACGAGCCACAGTTCACTTGCTTTGGGAGAACCCCCATTTCTGGGTTGTGTTTATAATCGGAACACTGAGCACTTACACCTCAGAAATCTCCCTACCCAGTAGATGGGAAGAGGCGATTGGTAATTCCAGCAAAATGGGGGGACCCAAAGGGAGCGCACCCACATGAGGCCATATTCTTATGATGCGTGCTGCTGGTCTTCAAAATTCCCATTGGATTATTTCTGTTACCATTTAATTGATTTTGAAATCAGGTTCAAGAAGCTGTGGATTTGCCTGGTGAGCTCATGATCTTTCTTTATATAGATTTTGTAGTAGATGCTACCCGGAAAGGAAACAAAATTCGATTTGCAAACCATTCAGTGAACCCCAACTGTTATGCCAAAGGTGAGTTCCCAGTGACCTAGGAGGGAGGGTGGGTGATGGATGCTTTATTTACTATGATTTCTATCCGTTATGTAACTTTTTTCATTGCTGAGTTATTTTTTGTCCAGAGACAGTCATGATTAACATCTGGTATCATTTTGAGTCTGTTTTGTAGTTGGCTTTCTTCACTGAATACATTATAACCATTTTCCCACAAACAAGAATCTTTTAAAGAGAATTCTCTTCCTATATCACCAGCCAGAATAACAGATCTAAAAGGACAGAGGCAACTGTCATCACTGACTGCTTTTTAATTCCACTTTATTTATGTTTTCACTGGGAATTGGGAGAAAGTCAGCCCAGCACCACCGGTTGTTGGCTTGGAGCTGACTAGGAACCTAGCCTTGGCTTTGTCTTGTCCTGTTTGCAGTGGTCATGGTGAATGGGGATCATCGCATTGGGATCTTTGCTAAAAGGGCAATTCAAGCTGGTGAAGAGCTCTTCTTTGATTACAGGTGAGGTGGCCGGAAATGGTCCTTGGGAGGGAGAATTGATTTGGGGACTTAAGGTGGGTGGTATGGAGGAAGGAGACAGTCTTATGGTGGTGGTCAAGTCTTTGTCTTTGTTCTACTCTCGGGTACCTTGCGTCAGTTGTAAACTGCTCTGAGGGACGGGGAGAGGGAGCAAAATGGAGGGGATTCCATCTGTTCACTCACGAAAGCCTTGACAGTAACCTGGTTCCTCCTGCTCCGGGACAGGTACAGCCAAGCTGATGCCCTCAAGTACGTGGGGATCGAGAGGGAGACCGATGTCCTTTAGCCCTCCCGGGCCCCACGCCAGCGCTTACGGTGGCAGCACTGTCTTTGCTTCATGCACACACCACCGCTGCTCGAGTTTCCTGCACTACGTGTCTCCCACACCGAGAATCCCCCCCCCACTCCCTCTGCAGCGAGGCCTCGGCTGTGGCCAGTGGGAACAAGCGGTCTCAGTGAGAGGGGACACAGAGGCAGCTGGGGCTTGGGCCCCCAGGAGGAGAGTTGCAGAAGTGGGAGACCGAGTCTCAGGCCTCAGAGGGAGAGAGCGCGGGCTAGGGGTGGGTGACTCCGTGGTTTCTGGTCCGCTACACAGGCTGTGGGCCTCGGCAGTCAACCTGGGCAGTTCCTCACCTGCACTGGCCTGTAATTCTAACTTTCCAAGTCAAGGGTCCTTGTGTAATTGGGTCGCCGGCATCTCTCTCTGTGGTCATAGGGCCTGGAGAGGACTGGCTCGGTGAAGTTTGGTACCCGGAGCTTAGGAGTGGCCTGCGTCAAGGGCGAGCCTGGCGGGTGGCACAGACTGACTTCAGAGGGGAGACGGGTCACCTTACTACCTCTTCCCTCCTGGCAGGGTTCAAATTCAAAGAGTGTGGGTTCCGAGTGTGGATATTCAACACTGGGAGAAGGAGAGCTAAGTGCTGTTCTTCCATAGAGAGCGAGAGCCATCCTGGTGACCGCAGTTCAACTGCTGAGCCTGGGGCCCAAGAGGCTCTGAGAAACCTTCTCTGCTCTGGAGATGGGTGGATACATTTTCAGATTCCCGAAAGCCGGTGCCAGTCTGCTGCCGGCTCCTCCCGAAGCTGTGGCTCGGCGCCGGCAGGCGACCCTCGTGCTGCTACTGAAGGAGCAGGGGGTCGTGCCGGGCTGCGCAGGAGCACGCCAGTTCCAGGCTATGGAGTTGTTTTCAGGCCTTTCATTCCCTCTAGAGGCCAGGCCCACGGGGCCTCTGTTGCTTATCTCTTCTGGGTAGATGGGCGAAGGCCTGGACTAGAGAGGGGTGAGGTTCTGAAGGTGATTTACTTTCCTGTCTGATGCACCTGCTGTTGGAAAGGGTAGTTGAGTGTTTGGAGGTGGGTGAGGGGCTCCCAAGTTGCACGTGCTTAGGACGGCATCACGCTCGCCACACACACTGGCAGAGGGTATTTGAAGCGTAGAGAGGACGCAGGCCAACCTCCTGCGCCAGTCCACGGTGCCATTCTCTCTGGGAGTCCTGATGAGCAAAGCACTTTATTTCTTTGAGAAGGTCTGCAGATTGAGGTGACGTTTGAGCTGAGGTCTCTGGGGTCCCTGCCCAAATCCCATTCCTAAGGGAAGGGGAAGGACAGGGGTTGGAAGATTCCCCTCCAGTTCTGTCTCAGCTCCTGGTGGAGTAAGGAGGAGCTTCCTTGCCACATAAGACGTAAATGAGGATGGGGCCGGCTCGAGGAGCTACCCCTGTGGTCTATGGCCGGTGTGCTGAGCTGGCAGGGAATAAGGAGCATTGTGCTGGGTAAAAAGGATGTGGGCAGGGACAGGCTGGCCCAGGGAATACTGGAGTAGGGAGCCGGCTTCTCTTTTCTCTAGGGAATCCAAGCCTTGCTTCCCTGGTCTATACTGACCACTCCCTTTCTCCAACCCCACTGGCTGTCCCATGAAGCAAGGAGTGGGGTTCCCTCTAGCCAAACTGTCGCCTAGGGATTTTGGTGGGACGTGCACACACACTCACATATCCTCACGCACCACACTTGTGGGCACACATGCACTCAGCCCTGAGCACACGCCCAGCCGGCTCCTGACGGAAGCCTCTTCCCACCTGACTGGTCAGCCCCACCATGATTCTGAAATCTCCATCTGCAGTGGTTTGTATTCATTGTGTACTGGAGACACCTCCTAACTGGACTGTGGGCTCTGAAGTACTCGTAAATTACAGGGAACTACCAGAGACAAATGAAGGAGGAGGAGTTGGGTCTGTCTGAAATGGGGCTGGCTGTGAGGAAAAGATGGGCAACAGGTTATATCCAGCCGTTGAGAGGCTAGACTGATCCCCCTCTTCCCTCAGTGTGCAGAATCCCCTCCTTCCCAGTTTCAGACCACTAATACTCCTGTTCTGCCAGCATTCCCATCCTGTTCCCCTCGCTGTCCCCCCACCCCACACCTTCAGTGACGGGTCTCAACCTCTCCCCCCAGACCGTGGAATGACAGACAGAGCAAGGTGGTGGGGACTGTGGGGGGGGAGGGCTGGTATACGTGCGGCTTTATTGCCAGTGAATTTCACGCACTTTAAAGTCCTGTGGCTCGTGACCTCTTACCTGAATAAAGTGGTAGAATCCATCTTGGCAAGTCGTGTATTGTGTACTTTGGGGCTGGAAGGATCCAGGGGCGTCAGTACGGGGGCAGCTCGGACTGACGCGCTAGCATTCTGATCCCCACTTGTTCACTGAGATCTGGGGTTAGGGGAGGAGAAGGGTTTGGCGAGAGCCAATCTGGCTCCTGGTCAGTGATGCAAGGACTCTGAAGGCTCCCCGTAGAAATTCCTGAGCCCTCAGATGGGGTCCTTTAAAATCATCCCGCTTATCCCCTCACCACGACGCCAGCTACCACGCACAGACTGGGGCTCTGCCACTCTGCTTTATTAGGACGGCTCAGGCTCTGAGCGCACGGCTTCAGAGTGGAGGCTGGGTCGGACTGGGTGAGTGGCCAGCAAACCTCACGAGACTTCCAACACAGGAGAAGCAAAAACCACAGACTGTGGGCACAGCACAGGGCAGTCGATTGATTTTTTCTTTTATATATAAACTGATAATTAGAAAATTAGAGTAATACATAGAGTTTCTCTAGAGAGAGATTTTGCAACAAAAAATATATATAAAGAATAGGACCTCCCGGGCAAACGAAGCAGCATCTCTGAGCGGAGGAAAGAGGACTCCTCATGCACTGGAGAGGGGGCCAAGCCTTTGGACAGGCACCAAGGCTATTGCATATCTTGGAAGAGGGAGGAAGAATAGAGGGCTGGCTAGTCGGTGTGTCTGCATTATTCTCTCTACATTGCAAGTTTTTTTTTATGGCTTTGGCTAAAGCATGTGAAGCAGCGGAGGTACTAAGGTGCTAAAAGCGAGGCCTCTTGGTCTCTGTACAAAACAAAAAAGAGAGGGTGGGGAACAGCAACAAAGCCCTCCCTAACCCCCAACTGAGTGGAAGCAGATGGAAGACATTCTGCAGGGCAGGGGGGAGGCTAGGGGATATGATTTAGCAGCCTCCTCCCCCCATGCCCTGTGCATCCCTGCAATCCCACACATCTGTCCCTGCTGAGATTGAATATTTGAAGGGAAGCAGTTAATCTCCCTTGCACTCTGTTGTTAATCCCTGGCAGCAGCTGGGACAGGGATGGCAGAGAGGGCCTGTCTCTACCCCATGGAGCTTCTCCTTTGGGGCAGGCAAACAACCAGGAGCCTGGGGAAACGGGGACGGGGACAGCATTGCTTTAGGCAGTGAGGTCGACCACTCCCTTTGGTCCCATCTGTAGCTCTGCCTACCAGACTTGGCAGGAGGGGCATCCTCTGGATGAGCAGAACCAGCTAAGAGGAGCCAAATGTCCCTGACAGGGTGGGGAGAGGTGGGAATTGGGAGATTCAGAGGAGATGGACTTGGTCCCTAAAGCCCTTCTCCTGATTCATTCAGACCTGGACTCCTCCAGGATCTGGGGAAGATTTTGGTCCCGGGGGCCAGGGGCTGGGCCTGGAGCTGCAGCTGGGGCTGGGGCTGGGGCTGGGGCTGGGGCTGGGGCTGGGGCTGGTGTAGGGGCCGGGACCTGGGCAGCGCCTGAAGTAGGTAGGGGAGGTTTGCTGCCAGGATGGTAATCATGGGTGGCCTTGGGCTCGTTGGTGTGGTAGGAGCCCTTGTAGCGATGATTTTGCAGATAGAAGAGCACCAACATCCCCACCAGCCCCAGCAGCAAGAAGGCCACCAAAACTGAAAGGGAAAGAAGGAACAATTCAGAGCCGTTCTTGGGGGTATCTCCACAGACACACATGTATGCTTTTGGCCAAAAGGATGCGTGTATGACTGTCCGCAGTTCGAGCGTGGCAAGCCAGGCCCAAGTGTCCGGCAGGTCTGAATTCCTGGCTTAACCCCTGGTGTCTTTGATTTCTAGTATTCTCTTTCCACATCCCTGGAGTTACCCCAGTTTCTCGCCTCTCTGGAGGTTACTGCACCCCCTTTCCTCATCCTTTAGCTATAGCGCCATTTTAATATTTCGTTTCAGTTAAAAGTCCATAGCATCCTCAAACCTTGAAGAATCTCCAGCTCAATTCTCTCCTACCGTCCGCACAGCCTAGCTCATGTGTGTGTGCACCCCCACACGCCTAGTGCCTTCGCCCCCCTCAGCCCTGGGGATACGGGGCGCGGAGGGGATGCCCACGGAGGGTAGAATTAGGTCAGGGTAGTGATCATGCTACTCACAGCCTAAAAGTATGGCCACCCATCCCTCATCGTGGTAGTACGGGAAGTCTGAAGAGGAGAAAGCCCCAGTTAGGAGAAGCCTCCTCCGTGTTAAGAATCGTTTCCCTTCCCTGTCCACCGTCCCTCTTCTGTGTGTGCCCTGGACCTACCTGGGGGCAGATACCAGGGATCCAGCTCAGGTGGCACCTCTGCGACAAGACGTGGCATGGCCCCGCAGTTAGATTCAGACAGTTCGCCCTGAACTCGAAGGGCCTCGGCTAGCTCAGCGGTCATGGGGCGAGGGGCTCGGAAGTGGGTCTTGAGGGGAGCCACGTTGTTGAATCGAACACCAGACAGGCAGCCCGAGAACCCCGGTGTGTTGTAGCGCTGGATCTCTGGGTCGATGACCCCGGTCTCTGAGGGAGAGGCAGGCCCAGAGGGACGGGGGCTGGGGCCACCCCTAGGCTCGCCCCGCTCACCGCTCGCCGTCCACAGGTTTCCTGCTCCTCACGATCACCGCCTTCGCAGCCGGTCCCAGGTCCCTCGCTCCTCTGGGCTCCAGGGGCTTCGCCCACAACCCCTCACCCCAAACACTCGCACCCACAGCTCACCCATAACACGCCCTAGATACAAGGCCTTGGGTGAGTCCAGCTGGCTGTCCACCAACAGCGAGAACTTCTGTTCTGTCAGCGGGAAGTAGTCCACCTGACGGGGAGGGAGAACCAGAGGCTGACGAAGCCAAGACCCCGCTGAACCCCCGTGCCGCCCCCGCTGCTGGGGAGCCCTCGCTCAGTCCTGGGTGGACAGCCACCCAGATGAAGGATTCGGCGTGGAAAACCCAACAGCCTCATCTGGGCCTTGTCGTTGCCGCCACCAGGGGGTTGACTTTGTGGAAAACTCTGTGGGGCCCATTCCCTGACTTATAAAACAGACATAAGAACGCCGGCCTCCCCGAGCGAGCTCCCAGGGCACGTGTGAGGGTCACAGGAGGCAAAACACAGGAGACTCCTCTGTGAACTGGGCTGTGCCCTGCTCCTGCTAAATAGCTGGCCTTTCCCCCGGGGGCGCAACCTGGGCGCCGTCTGGGCTGGTCTGCCTCCCTCCGCGCGCACCTGGATGAAGAGGTTACGGTAGACGCGGGTGATGTTGACGCTGTGGGGCTGGCCGTCGGTGACGGGCCTCGTGGTCAGTTGGTACACGTAGGGGCTGGTGCCCAGCTGATACCGCAGCTGCAGGGTCCCTGTGGGATGGGGGGGAGAAGGGGCGTCTCCTCTGGGCCCCCACAGCCCCCTGTCTTCGGAGAGCGCTCGGGGGGCCTTGAACCAGCGAACCAGTAGCTGTCAGAGTGGAGGGCGCGCTGCCGGAAGCTGGAGCTGGGGCGGGAGGGGGGCTGTGGGACCTTTACCGTCTTCCTTGATGAGCACGGCCATGTAGTCCCGCACGAAGGAGCTGACGTAGAGCAGGACGGCGGGGGCGGAGTCTGTGCTGAAGCTGAAGGACACCTCCTCTCCCGTGACGTTGTAGACAGGCCCGCGGTACCCGGGCACCGGCCGGCCGGGCCGGGGGTATTCGGGCAGACGGTACCCGGGCCCGTGGTAGCCAGGCACGTAGCCCGGGGTGTCGTAGCCAGGGACGTAGCCCGGCTCGTAGCCCGGCACCGGCCGGCTCAGCATGTGCGAGAACTCCCGGGCGGCCGAGCGCAGCGCCGACTGCAGGTTGTAGCGCATCCAGGTGCCGGGCTCAAAGAAACCGCCGATATCTGAAGGCAGATGGAGTGAGGTCAGGGCCCCCACTCCCGGATTCGGACACTGTTATGTCATCCTCGCCGCCGCCCTGGGACCTTGCCGCGGTCACAGCATGCCTCCATTCACCGGTAGGTCCCCTTGTCCCAGAAATGGAATCTGTCCCAGAATGGAATCTTAAAACCATGAGAAATGGAAAAGATCATCCAGTACAACCCGTGCCTTTGACAGATGGGGAGACTGAGGCACAGAACTAGCTACTGACTGCCATAAGGATACGCAGTACGCGGAGAGCCAAGATTAGAACCGAGGTATCATGGGGACGCCTGGGGGGCTCAGTCGTTTAAGCATCTGCCTTCGGCTCCGGTCATGATCCCGGGGTCCTGGGATCGAGCCCCGCATCGGGCTCCCTGCTCAGCGGGGAGTCTGCTTCTCCCTCTCCCTCTGCCCACCACTCCCCCTGCTTGTGCTCGCTCTCTGACAAATAAATAAAATCTTAAAAAAAAAAAGAATCGAGGTATCGTGACCCCCCCCCGGTACACTCGCCACCACTCACACTTCCAAACCAAGACGAAAGGTCCTCTGCTGGTCCCCGAGTCCCTGCAACTCCCTGCTCCGGCAGACTTCGCACACCGTGAACCTACCTGCGCGCACATCCTCCTAGGCCAGCCTTAGGAAGGATGCAGTCTGGGTGCATGTGCGGAATCTTGCGGTGCTGAATGTCAAGGCTTGCCTTAACCGAGAACCAGGCTGTAAGACGTGTTTTAGGAGCTCAGCGATTATCAACTAGGAAATGGCATAGGAGGGCATCGCGCCGCCTGCGGTGGGTATGCTTGCAAGGGGGCTAATCTGTGCTATCTTGGTGACAGTGGGAAGATGGGGAAGTTATCTGCCGGTTGCTTTTGAGTTCCTTTAGTACCAGCCAACTGTACCATCCCTTCCTTGCCCCACTTTATGACTTGGAGTCGCCCGGCATCTTCAGCTGCCGGACGGCCCCGCCTCAGCACTCAGGAACCCAGGGACAGCTCTAGTTTTCCCTGGTGCTGACCCTGCACCCTCCGTCCTTCCCTTGCCCTCCCTGCACCCCGCTGCGCCCTAGGGCTCCGGGTCTCCCATAAGCAGCCGCACTGACCGTGGTTGCAGTACGGCCCATCGAAAGCC